AAATTAACATATAACGCCGGTGTTTCGTGTGATTTGCTTAGGTTCGACGACCAACCAGTACTTGATAACTTCATTAATTCCCGTAATGTCATTGGCGCACATTTCTTTTTTGAAGAAAATTTATTAATTATGTTGTCCCTAATGATACCGTACAGAAATAATAATACCACAGGTCTATAGTGATCTTCTTGAAAAAATAATCGATGACAGTTATTTCCACTCAACAAAAATACTTAACGTAGAGGAATCAGAATTCTCCACAGTGGCAAAAAAATGTAGTGTAGCTGTTTGTGAAGTGGTTGGAAACATCCATTCAAGTTGTGAAACCCACCAAAGAAAAGAAAGAATCATTAGTTCTTGATGAATACATTCATACATTCATAAATATTGAGTCTATAGATGTGGCATGTACTAATGGTGTCATGTTACAACTTCCACGGCATACTACAACGTCTAAATGTAGTGGTTTTTAAGACGCAAAAGCTTTACTACAACGAAGCAAATGGGAAATGACTTAAACCTAATCCTGGCCATGCCGTGTCTCAATAGCAAGTAGCTAATGGATTCTAGTCAGTCGACAGAAATATATTCAGTGAAGTTGGTGAATGATGCTGCTGCGGATGTTCTAACTGTAAAGAAACGTAAACAAGCAAGCGAATTTCTAAAAAACAACACTTCAAAAGAAAACATTAAGTTAGAATCAAAACCATTAACATCATCAACGCCGAACTCTGTATTAGGACCCCAGTCACCCTCACAGGTAGTATTGAAGAAATTCTAGGTTCCCCACAGGTTCATCAGGACAAAATTAAACCGATTCGAGCAATTGAGAGCAAAGTTAATTTAGATTTGGGAAAGCCGTCGAAGAAAAAAGATAACACATTTACATGTGACTTTTGTATGCATAACTAAAGCTTTTGTAAAATAAAATACGTTTCTAAAATATCTGCCCGATGTATTTTCTTCGTTATTTACTCATTTTCGAGTGGTTCAACATTCCTATATTCTGGTCCAATTTGAGATACCGGTTCTCTGTATTGTACCACTTGTAAGGGTTTTAAATTTTTATTGTCAGTTAAAATTACCCAGCCAGAGAAAAACATATAAATTACAGTAGGTGTGTAACATATCAAGGTATAATACGACCAAAAATATAATGCATTTATTGCTTTCACGTTTTAACTATTTTAAAGTATCTTAACTGCATGTTTTGGGTTCCTTTGTTTTTTAAAATCTGTTAAATTTTGAAATTTGCAACAAAATGCGGTAAGTTGAAAATTCAGTTCTTCTAAATTTCCGGCAAAAGTTGCTTGCTCCGTTAAATGAATTTCGACACCTTCGAAGCACGTTATTCCTAATATGTTATAATACGACCAAAAATATAGTGCATCTATTGCTGTGACATTTTATGAATTTTACAGTACCTTAACCGTAGACCTTCGCAAGATAGTGGCAAAACCTATCCCAACAGATGTTTATTCTTCATTAAGTAGGTCTCACCTGAGATGGACCGTAAAGAAATATCTGTATTTGACCGTTTTAAATTTTATCAAGCATTAATGTTGCGGGGTATTTTCGAATAAGTAGAAGCATTTATTTTAACATCAGGTGATATGTATCATTCTTAAGAGTTTAATCAAATTTGCGATATGTTCGTATATGTTACGCAGGTATTTGACTGTAATCTTGCCAGTAAGTACGTATTTATGTTTTCACCTGTACGCTACACTCTAAAATGTGGAGACCGTGGAATGAAGCATGTTAGAAGAAGACATGGAAAACAACGCAGAATTTGAAAACGAAGTCAATTTAGAAGACGAACTACCTCGGCAAATAAAAAAACGGATGCATTTGTCTTCGGATGCTAAACAAGTTATTTTGAATGCTTACAATTTTATAAGAAATTCAAAACGGGAAGTAGGAGCAGCAATAAAAACAATTGACATGACCAAAGCTCCGAAGTCAACTGTAAGAAAAAATGGTTGAAAATGGGACAGTCAAGAGGGAAGTGAGAGATGCTCGTACTTCGCGAGTTTTTAAAGAGCAATACTCAGATTTAATGAGCCATATTCTGAAAATACTATTAGGAATCGTGCACGCCAGAATACACAACATAAACGAAACTGAAACCTCTGACACGCAATTTGGATTCCGCAATGGGCTTAGAACTCGGGAAGCCATTTTCGCATTTAATGTTCTTGCCCAGAGATGCTTAGACCTCAATCAGGATCTGTTTGATAATGCCAGGCAAGAAGAACTAATGGAAATCCTACAAAAACTGAACATCGACTGTCACGTATTGGGGTCAAGCCGCTAAGGTCAGAATAGATAACACTCTCTTCGAAGAGGTCAGCATACGGAAGAATGTCAGTCAGGGGTGTATCTTGTCTCCAATGCTATTCAATATATATTCGGAGAACATTTTCAGAGAAGCATTGGAAGACGAATCCGCTGGGATAGTAATAAATGGGAAAATCCTTACCTTAATATTAGGTACGCTGACGACACTGCTTTTTGTGCGGGCTCTCTCGAGGATTTACAGAGCCTATTAAACAAAGTAGTGAACGGCAGCAAAGATTGCGGTCTCAACATGAACATCAACAAGACTTAAATGATGGTGATAACAAAAAGGAAGCAAGCAACAGGTCAGCTCATCGTAGACGGGAAAACAATTGGCACTATAATTAATGAAGACGTTCAACATAAACAGGAAATCCTGGTATTGAACAAGCAAGAAAAGTCTTCATAAAAATGAAAAATGTTTTGACGGCTCCGGACGTATCACTAAGAGTGAGAACAAAAGTCTTCCAATGTTGTGTACTTCCCGTGTTGTTTAATGGCTTGGGAGGCTGGACGCTGAATAGAGAAACCACAAGGAGGGAAATGTGGACTTATGGACGCATGCTGACTCTTGTGGATGAGTAAAACTGCAAACGAGGAAGTGTTAGGAAGAATGGGCAAAGAACTCGAAATACTCTTTAAAATTGTAGGTAGACGAAGTGTAGGGCGCCGACGAATCTCTTGGTTGCGCAATCTTCGAGAATGCTTTGGTCTATCGTCAATTGAAGTATTTAGATCAGCAGTATCAAAATTGAAGGTAGGCCATGGTGATCAGCAACCTCCAAAGGAGAAGCTGATACAAAAAAAACCATGGAACGTTTTCGCACCACGTTTACTCTTATTGATAACTCGCATCCCCAGAGACGCCGCACGGTGCGTACAGAAGAAGCTATTGCTGCTGTAGAGCGTAGCATTGAGGAAGACCCGAATGAGTCCAGCCGCTATCGAGCACAGAAATTGGATCTGTGTCCATCCACTTTATGGAAGATTTTGCGTAAGGATCTTGGTTTACGTGGTTACAAAATCCAACTCGTGCAAGAATTGAAGCCAAACGATCATTAAGAAAGGCGTAGATTCGTCGAATAGGCCCAAAACGAGATTGCCGTTGTTCCCGATTTTCATAAGCGAGTTTTGTTTAGCGATGAAGCACCCTTCTGGTTGAATGGCTACGAAATCAAACACAACTACCACATTTGGAGTGAAGCTAATCCTCAAGTGTATGTCCAAACACCGTAACATCCAGAAAAACTGACTGTTTGGTGCGCTTTATGGGCTGGTGGAATCATTGGTCCGTACTTCTTCAAAAACGATGATGGCCAGAACGTTACAGTCAATGGTGATCGGTATAGAGCTATGATTACTAACTCTTTCATTCCTGAATTGAATAACCATGATGTCCAGGACATGTGGTTTCAACAAGACGGCGCAACAATCCATTTATTGAAAGACACGTTTGGTGACCGCCTAATTTCACGTTTTGCACCTGTGAATTGGCCTCGAAAATCTTGTGATTTAACACCGCTAGACTACTTTCTGTCATTCGTTGTTCGTCATTGGTCATTGGTCTATGCGGATAAGCCACAAACGCTTGACCATTTGGAAGACAACATTCGCCGTGTTATTGCCGATATACGGCCACAACTGTTGGAAAAAGTCATCGAAAATTGGACGTCTAGTTTGGACTACATCCGCACCAGCCGTGTCGGTCATATGCCAGAAATCATATTTAAAATGGAATGCCATAAGATTATCTTTCGAATAAGTAAAATTCATGTCAATCGAATAATCCATCGTTGTTTTATTGCAACTTAAAGTTCTATACATCGAAAAAAAGCACCCCTTACAATAGAATACATTGACAAAGTTATAAACAAAATTAAATATGTGGACATTTAGAAAACGTTCTTGAGCTTGGATATAAGGAAAAAGGAACAAACTAATAACAGTAGCTTATTATTAGCAAATGTACAATTTCTTCATTCTAGTGATTATCAGGATAAATGGACCCTGATTAGTTTCGTAATCTATAATTGAGCAATACTGTAAATCAAACAACGCTTTTCATGTATAGATCACGCAGAAATGTAGTGTAACCAAAATTTAAGTCTTTGAAAGGCAAATTGGAGTTTTTATGGTCCAACAAATCAACAGAAACATTGGGTTTCAGAAAATCGATAGTTTTTTTACTTGTATTTACCATTTTTATTTATTTATTTTAATTAGAAAGATAAGACTCATCTCTCGGCAAAATCCTTTGCAAAATATTTAGAGGCATGAGGTCAGATTGCAAACGAGCGTGAATTATTGTTATCGTAAAAAATGTTATTGAGAATAATCACCACAAACAATATTCCACGGTATGGAAAAAAGCAACGACCTTTGATAGACATTTTTAGAAATCTACTTTAATCTGAATGAATTCATAAATCTAACATTGTGTCGAAATTAAGCGTGAGAGTTACGAGAATACCGGACACTTTTATCTTCCAATTTACTTTTGTGTAGATATACTTTCTAGAGAGTACCTATCTAATGGGGGAACCCCGTTCCCAACATCTGACATTCATTCAAAACAATGGGGCGAAGAGTTAAACAATGTCGTTAAAAGTAAAAATTAGTAATTTAATAAAAACCTTGTTAGGGTTAAATTTCCATTCAAGGTACACGAGAAATTTGGTGGACGACGGAAACGGCAAATACAACCTCATGGCTTTGTGTTGGGGTGAAGGTCAGGGAGCCAGCATACACGACCACGCAAACTCGCACTGCTTCATGAAGATCCTCCAAGGGTCACTCGAAGAAATTAGATACGGCTGGCCGAAAGAAGAAGGACAAGAACTCGAGGAAATTCGCAGAACCCGCTTAAATTTAAACGACGTTTGTTATATCAATGGTAAGTAACCCTACAATGAGCTATTTGATAAGTTTCTGAAAAATGCAACCGATCTCAGAAAAGTTGGTTTTGGTTAGTTAATATGTTTTAGAAAGCATAGCTTAAAGGCCGTGTCTGTCGTGGCGTCATAAAACAGTAGATAAATATTATATAAGTTGATACTGGCAAAAAGTTAGGTTAATTGTTTAATTTATTATTCTTGATTGCGATTTAAAGGACGTGCGTGCTAACATTCAGAAAGAGATGTGTCGAGAAAAAGGAGCACAGGGTTTACAATTTATTCGCATTACTTGAGACTCAAGAAAACAACGAATGGTAGCTCTTCCAGTGTGGTCATTTAGTACTTAGCATATAGTATTTTTTTACTAACTGCACATTTACAATATTAATATAGCCAAAGGTTGGTGCACGTTTTATAACCACATTCGGCGCACTTAGAATTTTAACTCGTTTCAGACAGGATCTCTCAGAAAGGATCCCATTAGAGGTTTTGTTATGGTGATGTTTGAAACAAAAAGTTTATAGGGATGCACCATTTAATAATATTGGAATACTTGATAATTGAATAAGATTTCATAGCACAAATATTACTCCAAATGTACTGAAATCCATTTTGTTACATAGCATAGCATAGCAAAGAAGTTTGAGAAACTTAAAGAATGAAGTTTAGAAAAATTTGGTGATTTGGTAATTACTAGTTTTCCCTACAGTCTATAGAGTGCCTTTTAGTGCTTTGAAAGCGGTATGGTATATCTGGGCTACAATCAATTAAATTTATTTACTTGCATTTTAGAGTTAGGCAGTAGTTCAAATTATATTTTTGTCAGATAGCTTATTTTAGCAAGGATAAAATATGTGGACGTATAAATTAATGCGAAATAGAATAAAAACTGGTAATTTTAGATTCGCTGGGTTTGCATCGAGTCGAAAATGTTTCCAGTTATGATACCGCCATAAGTTTGCATCTATATTGTCCGCCTTACGATCGATGTTCAGTTTTCAACCAAAAAACGGGAACCAAGTCGACAGCAACCGTGACATTCCATTCAATGTTTGGAAGACGTATTAAAGTAGGTTACACATAACACCTGGTGGCGTTGAATATACAATTATCAACTATTTCAGAGAACGGAGAACAGTGGTTAAAATAAAGAGTCTACATCGAGATGCCACTTTAGCGAGGAGTACCAAAATATATTAATAATATTGAAAAAATTAATAATGTGTAGTTAGTTGTGCATATTTACAATCCTTGTTTCCACTTTTTATTCCTTTTAAAAGAGTACCTGCAAATAATTTTATTAATTTTTTGTTCATTTATCCAATTGGTAAGTATTAGTGACAATATTATACTGACCCACAATCCACAACCCTTGACCCACTTTACACAGGACTTTTTCAAATTGAATGTTGAAATTCTGATTTTTGAAAGTGTTTTAAAATATAAACACGACACTCACTTTTCTTACAATAAAAAAATATTTTTGAAAAAGTTATCCATTTGCAAGCGATGAAATGTGGGTATAAAAAAAGAAGATTTTAAAAATTATTTCCGTTTTAAGAGAAAGAAATGTTGAAAAAATATACTTATAAACACCCAAGAAATACATCCACTAAATATATAAATTCTTTTTATTATCATATTATCATTAAGGCACACAATTTGTGCCAAATTAAAGGTAAAATATTTAGGTACAATAAACATAAAAACATTAACAATTTAACAACAAACAGAATCTTTGAGTTCCTTGCTGCTGGCAAAGGCAAAAAAGCCTCAATAAATGTCTCAATGAATAACTTTTCCGCCATTTTGATGTGATTCATTCCTTTTTGTATTCACTTGCCAAACGTATGGGGTAGTGAAGCACATCTATGAAATGGAATCAGAGCTTTTAAATAAAATTTTGCAAAATGTCTCAAAAAGAAAAGAATTACATCAAAATGTTAACTATTCAAAAAATTTAATTGACTATGCAATCATTTCTAAAAATGTTTGCTTGAGGCTTGCATAATATTCCTTGAGGACAAATAAAACCTGTAACAGGTGTAGTAAGTAATAAAAGCCAAATCGTAAAAACGTTTATACAATGAAAGATATTAAAAACTGCTTTTCCTTGTGGACTATACATTTGGGGATTTAGTGGACCATGTGATTATTCCTTACACGAATTGTTCAATTATCAAGTGTACTTTACTGAAGATGGATCTTCTAGAAGTGATCTGGACGACAGCGATATGGGGTTCGATGCTTTGATATTCTGAAACTGACCGATTTGAGGTCAGAATTTGAGATCTTTGATTGCCTGAGGAAGATCTGGTAATTTAATGTCTTTGATTTGTTGCGGAATGTTCATGTTCTTCACTGCAGACACAGCTCTTGCAGGTGCGGCCGATATTCCAGCCTGAAAATATAGAAAAGCCAGTGAACTTTAAAAAATATGTTATATAATGTCTAATACAATGTGCATGATCAACATGTTCAATTTATTTTGAAGCCTTTGAAAACCTCGGCTACAAATATTCAATCCGCCCATATGATTCTGACGATCATTGAAAACCTGCCAACTTGGGTCGATTTTGCACATTCAAAAAATTGGCATGCCAATGAACCACGAGTGTAATTTAAAAAAATATACACGTGTACTAACTACTCCAACTAAATTTGGGAGCAGACAATATTTGTGAAACAAAATAAATCCTCATAAAGCAAAAACAATAACTGTTAGTTGTGTTCGGCCCTTTGTTAGAAACAAAGATCTTCATGAAACTCAAACACTCAAATATATGGATATTTGATATTATTAATATCATATGATACAGTTAGCTTTGTAATCATGTACTTAGCATCCGTATGAAATAACAAAATTATCTAAAATTGATATAACTTAGTTACTAGTTTGGAAGGTTCCATATATTTAAATGCTCCGCACTCAAAACTACAAAGCTAAACAATACAAAACAAAGTACACTTGTACTAATCCATTTAGTTTTTACAACTTACTAATAAAAATGACCGTCATAGAGTAACTTTAACTTTCGCTCTAATTCAGAGTAGCTAATTTCCATCTATAATCATCAAAAAAACAATTTTGTGATTGCAAATTAATAAAAACTTTCTTTACATTCATCCTCACTGATTCGAGTGTTATTGAACATTGTGTTGAATTATAACAAAGCAGATAGGATAAATGAATGTAAAGATTTTTCAGCTGCAGCTAGATATGTTAAGAGGAACAAACACAAACCTCTTGCTTCTCCAATTTGTTCTGATCCTCAATTCTGGTTAATATTTCTGTCATATTGGTTTCTAACACCATACCTCCCATAACTAATTCATTAAGGATAAAATGAACTTTGTCAACATGAAATATTAAATCCAGCTCGCACACATTCTCAAAGCATTTGTCTAGCGTTTCGACAAAGACCTGGATGAGATCCAATATACCCAGTTCACTTTCTGAAGAATCAACACAAAAAACAAAGTATAGGGTTGCATAATGTCTGTAAATTAACTTATAATCACTTCCTCCTATCAAACTGCAAAAAGAAATAAATGAATGCATTTACAAGCCAAATCAGCATTTGATAAGTAACAGAAGAGAAAATGTTTGCGAATTTTTTACCTTCCTCCTTCTAGGAAATTGCAAACGTTATCGTCACGTTTGGAGACTAATTGAAACGTTTCTTTTATTATCTGTTGTTGCATGTCTTCAGCCTAGGAGGATAAGGTTAAATTAGGAATATTCCCACCTGAAATATGATTACTTACAAAGTACTGATAAAATTTCGAAAGCCGTGGTTTTCCATGATTATTAAAAACTAGAATCGCCTTGATCATGTTCAAAAACCGTCTGTTAATATTTCTAAACACAAAATTACCTACTTCATTTTTAAAAGCCAATAATTCGATTAAAATTTATGGTAAGCATGTACCGCATAGCATAAAAAAAGTCAGTTGATTGATAGTACGGACGTTCTTGTTCTGCTCTCTCCGTTAAAGGAACAGCAGAAAAATGTTTGATTAATTTTGAAACTGGTTGAAAATCATAAAACTTTTGTTCTATTTACGTAAATCCTTATGTTTTAGTCCCTATTCAATACATTAAAATTAATATGATGAAGTGCAAATCAAATATGACCGTTGTGCCATCTATACGAGAGCGGTCACATCAGCTTGTGGTTTTTGCGATGACTTAAAGAAAACTTTGAAAAAACGTCCCCACTTCTGGGTACATATTATGACAATCCAAAGGAAATGCCAAAAATCAGAAACGAAATGGCGTCGTTGGTTGACGATAGGCTTTGAGAAAAGCGGGACTTTAATTTCGTGGAATTCGCGTGCGGTGTGATCATTTTTAACAACAGACATGTATGTTATATAAGTATATTTCTTTACCTGTGCCGTTTGAAAAATGACTCGGACATATGTATGCCATTCAGAATATAAATTCTTGCTCATGTTCATTGCAGCTTCTGTACTAAGTACACAAGGTAGGTAACCAAATGTTATTTAAAACGTTGTAATGCTAAGTTTAAAGCGACTATCACCATAAAATCACGTCAAAACCCTTTCGTGGCACAATCAATTTCAAGTTTCGACGAATTGGAGAAATAGTTAAACGATATTTTCAAACAATTTTTTTTTCGTGTGGGTGGTGGGTTTGTTTACTTGGCAATGTTGACGGATATTTAAATTTGCCGGTACTTAATTAGGTCCACAAATGATTACCAACAAGGTAACATTGATTACCGGCCAACGATAGGACTAATGTCTGATGAAATTCGTATTTTTTAAAAGGTGCCATGCAGTCTAGAGTGTTTGTTATTTCGTTATGTAATTATCAACCGATAAAGACGTCACGAAGGTTATTTGTTGATTATTACGCATCGGCACTTTACTGCTTATATAGGCTATGATAAAAATGAATCGCAAAAATGTCCCAAGCAAAATCTCAGAAACTTTTGCTGGGTGCCTTCACTTGTAGTGACAAATTTTATACTTATACTCCTGGCAATTCTTTGTACTTATTCCTCCACCACAAGCCCGTCAGATTTTAGTTTTTTCTAAATTATCCCAAGAAATTATCATTACACCTATTGATGATAAAACTAAGGAAACTAATGGGGTAAATCGTAAATAAGTTTTCTAAACCGGAAGTAAAAAAAAAAGATAGAGAATTAAAAAAAAAATAAAAAAATTGTGTTAGATGATTTCTCCATTTAAAATTAACTTAATTATTTTTATTTTAATACTGAAATTGATAATGTTTAAGTTATTAATTATTTTAAATAAAAAATAATTAATAATTTATTGATTATTTTTTAAAATAAGGAAAAAAATGCTCATTTTTTAGCATCATAACAATAATCGTTGTATTTTAATTTTAATCGGTTTTTCTAAGATTTCCTAATTTATTTCAGACATCTCTTCCCCGTCTACTCAATTGACTCATCCATAGATTTTCTCATGTAGTTAACAAGCATTTCCCTTCGACATTTTAACATGCCAAAGACCCTAAAATAGACCTTTTCGCGATATGTAATTTGGCTCGAAACCAAGCCGTAATTTCTCTTTGAATAATTACCATAACATATTTCCAGATTTGTCTTAATTTCGTGAGTGCCTATTTAAAGAGATTCAGACGTAAAAAGAATACGTAACTGACTTCGCGTGAATACTTGATATGAATTAACGAATCATAAATATGTAAATATATGCTCACATGGAATTAAGTGTTTTTATTACTTTGGCGATGGAAATTGCAACGCGAATTGCAATACTCTAGGGGAATTTCGCTGCAAAGGGGAATTATCTAGTGCTTTAATATTTGTCATGTGTTGGTAATCGTTGGTGTCAAACCAAGATTTCACATAAATTTCATATGATTTTACGAATTTCTACTACCTTGAAAAAGGATTTTTATTTTAAATATCAATCAAATCAATTATAGCAAAAAAATAAAATAAAAAATACACCGAAAACTTCCTTTTATAAAACGTAATTGCTACTTTTTATATCTGATAAGTGTTTGTTTTTTTAGTTTAATTACTTGTTTTACTTCATTATTCCATCAGGGTTCTTTGATAGGTTTTCCTCCTGTTCTGGTATACTAATATTTGCTGCTACCACAACACACTCAGTAGAAATCTTAACATTATGATTTCTTGGCATTAGAGAATTTTTTTCAATCCGATTTTTCAGTTTCCAATTTTTTGGGTTGTCTATTTGAAGTCTTATTGGGAAATCGTCACTGTTCGCTGGTTCGCTGGATGCTATAGATAAGCGAGCCGAAAGGGTATTTGCATTAACCATTTATCGAGGAAGCACTATCTCTATTTGTTTTTAGTGGTCCGAACTAGGTTGTGAGCGTTAAAATCTCCCACTTCGCCAATTGTAATTAACTTGTATTTGCAATAAGGTCTGTTTATTATTATATTATTATTATGTAACATAACTGAGTTAAATTAACTTTTTTTATTACTAAAAGCAATTAGAGTTATTGAAAATTAGCAACTCAACACTGATTTTTTAATAATGGGTATGATCCTCTCTTGCCCTAATAACATCTCTTGCCCGACTTCTTGTGGAACGCTAAGCCACTCTGCAAATTATTCAGATTGTTGACATTTGGTTGATGTTCATTTTTTTTTTTTTAAACCATCGCACTATACAATAATACATGCGCTCTACCAATGCCAAACATCGTATGACTCTTTCGATAGTATTGTTTGTCAATCATAATTTTTGATAACGGAACTCCTACGTATATGATCGATACCTGCAGTGGAGACCTAATTCAGCACGTGGGCGCTGAGATAATAATTCGTTTTAGTTTACTTAAACAATAAGCTCTGGGATCGAGCTACGAAGTCTAGCTGGAATTCTCCGGTTTAGCTGTTCTCTTAAATGTTCGATCGGATTGAGGTCGGGACTGAATGCTGGCCACTTTATAACTCGAAAATCGACTTCTGTAATGTAATCTGCTAAACTTGCCCTTTGACCATGGCCGCCCCTTCTGATGAAAACAGAGCCCACCTCCATAAGAGCTCAGCTTTTCATTGTAGCATTCTGCAAATCGCTTTCCTGGTCTTCGGTTCAGTTTTTTTCGTCAGTCGCTACCAACAAGGCACATTCGGGTCTCATCTGAGAACATGTACGTACATTTAGAATAAAAATGTAATTATGTAATTATTGTATATATTTCTTAGTGTAATTTAAATAAAAAATAAGGATTTTATATTAATATTGTATTTTTTTCTCTTCAGTTTACAACTCTATTTTGAAAGGTGGAGTTGAAATTTTCGTACAATATGATCAGTATTCCAATACATAGAAAATGCCTCTATAACGATATTTTTATTTTTTTCGGGGACGTAGCGCTTATAATTCAAAAGCTTGAAAGAAACGCGAAATAGAAATTATAAAACTGCGCAATAAAAAAAAATCTGTAATAATCACATTAGACCAGTTGTCAACCTCATTAACATTCATTTCGTTTAACAAATTAACACTTAATTAGGATGATTTATTTCGACTTTAAACGACTCATGTGTGCGTTGTTGCATAATAATAATACGCTTAAATCCGTTCATGTGGATCAAGGCTTCGATGCGGAATTTGTATATAAATATTTGAATTGATGGGATTCGATCCACGAAATGCTTGTTTTTTAAGTCTTTTTAGTGGTAGCGCATGATGAGAGTTATATTTCAATTTCCCATATGTATTCGTTGACATTAATCCAAGCCTCAATTGCATTTTTTTTTATTTATCTATCTAGTGCGTTTATCTCAATAGAATATTAAAAATTCATTTAGTGTTTAGAAAAAGTTGCCTTTCAAAAATATAAATATAAATATAAATTATTCAGATTGTTGACATTCGGTTGATGCTGACATTTTTTTATTTAAAACCAGAAATATTTCGCTCCACCAATGCCATTTTATATACTTGTAGACGAACATCATATGACTTTTTCGATAGTATTGTTTGTCAATCATAATTTTTGATAACGGAACTTCTACGTATAATAATATGATCGATACCTGCAACGGCGACCTAATTCAACACGCGAGCGCTGAGATAATTCGTTTTAGTTTACCTAAACATTTTATAATCAATTTTAACCTTCCATTTACATTTATTTCGACACATACCTGTGTGTGTGTATTTTGGAAGTGTTATTCATCTGACCCCGACCCTAGATATTTTTTTACCCCATACCAAACATCTAGCTCAGAAGCATTTTCGAATTTTTTGAGTTCCGAGTAAAAATTGCAAATGTATTTTTTTTTAACTACGCTACTGTATATTACGTTTATTTAAGTTACTGATACTTCGTCAGAATTGTTTTGGTATTAGAACTGAAAGAGAAATATTTTTTTTTAAATGAAATCAGGTGGGTCATTCCTCGGCATATCAGAACTTTATTATTGGTGAACATGAAACTCACAGAATTGAAATTTTAATCTTTGTTGGATATGGATACAAAACGAGTACGCCAGAAGGAATTTGTATTCTGTTTAACGGAAATATCCAGAATGGTCCATTACAACACGGCACGGTAAGTCAAAGAAATTATTTTATTTGGTGTTGAAAATATGCACCGTTAACTTCTTGACAATATGCTAATTTGTTTAAGAACACTTTCAAAATATTACTCAGAATATTTTCATTAATTTGCCTTATTCCGTATCGTAAATTTTCTGTACTAAATCCGTTGTATCAGTTCTGTGAAATCTTTGTTATCTGTGTTTCCTTGGAGTTTTGAATTCATTCCATTAATTAAACAAATTAATTAAAAATTAAAATGAAAACATACCAAAATGCCAATTATTAAATACATTTTTTAAGTTGTTGATTGATTGGCTTCTAAAGCTGTTACAATTGGTTGAATCGTAAGCACTTTTGGAAAATACTATTGTTAAATTCAACGAACTTTGCTGGTGGGATGTTTAATTTTGATATTTTGGAGTATTCATTCAACCTAATGATTCAAAATTAGTAGTTATAGTTCTTTCACCTATAGTTTATCATTATCGCTAATAATTATCAAAATTCTTTCCTAAATATCTTAAATATGCCCAAAAATAGAGTTACGTTATTAAAATTATAAACATGAATAATTTAATATATGAAAAAAATTTCTATTTAAAATGACTGTGTCCATATCCTAAAAATATAAAAATATCACGCCGATGGACCCTCTGTTAACAGTATTACCTCAAATTTTCAAGTTTATGTTAGTTATAGTGCCTATATCAGATCGACGTTCCAGTTGATATGATGCGATAATTTTTGAGGGATGTGTATAAGGGGACATCATATATTACATACATTAATTAATTTAACTTCTAAAGTAAATAACTTTTCTAAACTTGAAGTAAATGAAAAAAAATTGGGATACAGAATTTAAAAAAATAATTAAAAAAATGTATGTCAATTAAAAAATTAAGGGAATTATTTATTAGATTATTTCTCTATTTCGTAA